GTTCCGAGTGGAACATAGGGTTTCAACAACATATCTTCACCTTCTTCTATTCTCTGCTGTCCTCCTCAGCTGCGCCCATGGTTGACCATAATCTCTCATCTCCTCCTCCTTCTCACCACGCGATCTCCTCCATGTAACCCTCACACCAACGACCCACTCGTCGCCTCCCATTAGGATTGCACTCAAGCGATGACCTGCATTGCTGGCGATGTCATTCGACTGCCTCCTCAACGTATGCTCAATCCATCTCCATTTTCTCCAACATATATTTGTTGAGCAATCGACTCTTGCTCGGTTGGTTTGTTGCCAGCTAGAGTATTTTGTTGCTAATTCTTTTTGAATGACCATTCGATCTTCAGAATGGAGCCAGTGAATGAGGTAGCTGTTGATAAATGCCTGTAACTTCATGGAAATGCTTTTCATGACTCACACGCAGTGCAAGTTTCTGACCCATATCGAAGAACTGATTTACTTCACATTTGTGTTGAACAGAATCCGAATCTTGTTGTATATTCTGAGGCGAAGTGCAGCAGCGGATTTCCAAACTGGTTCCAGGTTGATGAAGGCGTGCGTATCTTGCCTTTCCAGTTCTGACAAGCTTTGGTATCTTCATCCGTGCCGAGTACCTGTGGTTGAAACCGTGCTTCCTAGCCGGATAAGTGCAGGAAGTAACTTGTGTTAAATTTCTCCCACTGATGGTGACTGGTGCTGTCTGTTGTTGTTGTTGTTGGTGGTGGTGGTGGTTGGTTATCGCCATCATCTGCGTCTTCTCTATGTTCAACCGGAGTCCTGTCTTCGCTACCTGCCTCCTCTGCGAGTTTGTTGGTTTTCGCCTACCTGTAAGTCTTCGAGTCTGTGTGACATTAAACATGAATCATCCACGAAATCCAGATCTTCTGGAGTTTTCTTATCGGTCAGTGCAGCGATTCCTGTCTTTTCACTTCCCACACACAGTCTGACGCATAATCCAGTCCACCACAATTAAGAATATCATCCATGGTGATAATAGACAGCCAGCTTGTCTTACTCCTGTATTCACTTCGAACGCCTCACTGAGTTTTGTGTTGCGAATCACCTAACATGTGGCACTGTCATATAGCTTTTGAATGATTTTGATAAAGACTGAGGCACTGCAGTGTAGAGTGTCGAAGTAGAACCAAATAACGTCTAGCTCAACGCTGTCTGTTGAAGGCCTTTTTGAAGTTGCAGCCAGTTTGTTATGTTTTCTGTAACCCTAATATACAAAGATTACTGGATCTTTCCTGTGTATATATGACCACATATTTATATATATGTAAACTGGGAAACGTGATGGGATAGGAAGCTATCGTTTAAATAATATGTGAGATTTGCTGCAGAATTTGAATTTGTTTTCATTTATGAGTATACGATTACCTGGACAGTGTATTTTATTGAGTGCCACTTCACTTCTTTGTTTATCTGTCAAACTTCATGAGTCATCCTTGAATGGTGAAGGAATGTACGTACATCTTCGTTATGATGAAAATATTTCTCCAAACAACAGTAAGGTGTAATTCCAGGTAGTACTCAATGAGGATACAAGTTATATTTTAAAAAGAACTTACAGCCCTTTCGTTTTAGTGTAGTTGAATAGGTAGAACGGAGTTACAATTTGAATTTCCTTAGGTAGTCGGGCTTATGTGATTTTATGCTGCACGCTAAGGAGAATGTTGCAATCATATCAGAGGCTACATTCAACTGTTTCAAAAGTGTTTTATCAACTTTTCTACACACTGTAAGAACATTTGTTGTGACTATTACTACACTGTACGTGAAAACATTTTGAGCTAGCTTATATTCACACCCTCGATGATCATAAGTTATTCAACTGTTGTGGCACTACCTACTGAAGATACATTAAATCAGTAAGAATTAAAAATAACCCTATAGTTAGTCGGAGATTAAGAGAAAGAGACACTGCAGTGTGTACATGAACGGTGAACTATACTCGGAAGTCTGATGTTTTCAAGGGTATCTGCTTTTAATTACCACTTTAATTGGAAAATTTCAGTACATATATTGGTGTATTTGTAAAATCCACGAATCAACTACCTGGATGATATAGTAAAACTACTGAATAATTTTCAATGAAAGTATAAACCGAAAATTCGGATTCTTTGAACACCTTGCTCTTTTCTATTCTAGGGAGTAAAATCATTCTAGTTGGTTGTTATTATTACTAAATAAATAATATAGAAGATTCATTGTATGAGTGATTGTGAAAATATTCCTTTTTGTATCGCAATATCCTACCGATTTTCAGGTAAAACTTGAAAAATGCTATACCAATAAGAGTGGTATCTGAAAAGTTAGACAGGCATTCACTACTGGGAAAGCAATTTGAAGATCCACATTACAGTATTTAGCACAAACAAAAAGATACAAATTTTCACCACTAATAGCAAGCCGCGGCTTCTGTATCCTTCGGAGATTTGACAAACTCTTAATCAAAAATATTTCCAACAGCCAACCACACATTTTCTCCTACGTCTGCATTGGCTGGCTCGATGCTGAAGATCAGATGGCCGGCGAGAAAGAATAAACAGTCAACTCTGGTCGTGCAGCGAACTATTATCATTATTTCCTTTAATTCCTAGAGGAACATAGGGCTTCAGTCTCACATCTCCATTGCGTTCGCTTCTCCACTAACGTTTTCACCTGGATCCACGTCTGCCCACATGTTTTCATCTCCTCTTCAGATGACCTCCTACAGTCACCCTTGGACGACCAACTCGTCACTTCCTATTCGGGTTCCACTGGAGTGATGGCCTATCGTGTGATGTCACTTGATGGTTTCCTCGGAGTATGACCAATCTACCTCCTTTTTTTCTTGCTTATTTGTTACAGAATCGGTTCTTGGTTGGTTCGCTCCCAGAGACCCCTCACTACTGCTGATCTTTTCTGCCAGCCATCTGATCCTGAGTAGTATTGAGCAAAGATTTGCAGTTGTTGATGTAGGTGTGTAGTTTGTTCGAAGTGTTCTTCATGACGCGGCGCCAAAACTCTGGTCCATAAAGTAGCACTGAATTCACATTGGAGTTGAAAATCCAGATCTTATTTTTCATACTCAGTGCTGTTGACCTCCACACAGACTTGAGATAAATGAAAGCTTGTCTTGCTTTCCCGATCCTCGCCTTGATATCCTCGTCAGTTCCGCCTGTAGTTGAAACGATGCTTCCCAAGTAGGTAAAGGTGGTTGTTTCTTTTAGGTTCCTCCTATTTATGCTGATTGTTATCTGTTGTTGTTGCTGCTGCTGTTGTCCAGGAATCTTCGTTACCTCTGTTTTCTCTATGTTCACCTGATGTCTTATCTTTGATGCTTCTTCTGCCAGCTTGTTACTTTTCACTTGCATATCTTCCAGTTTGTGGGAAATCGGACATATATCATTGGCGAAGTCCAGATCCTCCAAGTTTTGTGTGGGTCCATGCTACGAACTTACCAACAACATAATTCTCCACACATATGCAGAATTAAATGGAAATAAACTGGCGGTATTCTAAAGACACCGTTAAGGGATATCAAACCCCAGACTGTCGACAAAAGCCCGATTGGAAACTGACCAGGTGGACGTCTTGGGGATGACAGAGAGGAAAATACTCCAGGTGGAAACGACAGCAGATAACCGAGGGGAATTAAAATGTACAGCTGAAGTCGGTGCTCCATTCAGAACTCAAGGAGTGAATAATAATGTAATAATGAATAGCCTAAAAAATACAGTTTTACTTAAATTGATAACCAACCAAGATAAATAGTTACAGACAAAAAGATTCTTTCAGAGAGTGAAAGCTGCGGCTTGTTGCCAATTACTCAATACATCATATCATTGATGGCTTGTAAATCCTCCTGAACAACCCTAATCTTATTATCATCATGATATAATGTGCTTGATGCTTACTTACCTTTCAAGTATGATCCATCTATTATTATTATTACTATTACTTAACAATTGAAGACAATCGCCATCTAATAATTCAAACTTCATCATGACAGTTCATTCATCGAGCACACTATAAACCTAACTAATAGAATTCAACTGTTGGTTTGCGGGGATGTGATTGGTTACAGGATTTATCATCAGCTGACATCAGTTCGAGAACCACTGGAAAACTAGGGAGTACTGAACAGCTGTTTTGTGCCCCTCAAGAAGTGTGCTGATGAAGGGTCCCAAACTAGGACGAAACAGCTCTCCGGTACTCCCAAGTTTAGTCATCAATCCCGATAGAATTCTGCCAGTACCAAGCTTAACTATTAAATGTATGATACTGGTTACTCCTCAATGACCAAGTAATATGTGCATGATTGATCTGCATATGATGGTCAGTGGATTAATGTATATAAAAACTGACATTCGCCTGTCAAAGTGCAGTGACAATTTTTAACTTATGGGTTTCAATCTCTTATATTTATTATATCCTACAATAGACTAACATGTGTGTTGGTGGCACAGTGCTAGAATGTTCGCCAACGACGCAGGTGGTTAGGGGTTCCATCCCCGGTCGACGCACTCTTTTACCCCGCTAAGCCGGTAATAAGACTGGGCATGGGGCTAACAACCTCACCCCGTAAAAATAAGCACCACTGCTACCGAAACCTCAATGCTCCTGCAGCTTGAAGCCCTATAGTCCACTAAGAACGTTAAGTAATACACATAATAGGATTAACCGCGTCTATGGTGTGTTCATAATAAATGCGAATTTGTTACATAGTGGTTACACTTGTTAATTAGGGTTTTCTCTTTTGTTCTCTCTTTATTTACCATCTATCACATAAATGTCAGTAAAAGTAATTCCCAAGATAATTAAAGAGATTGTAAGCACAAAAATTATATGTTTTTATTCACGTAGTCAATTTCACGTGTTCTAATTCATCAGTTTCATAAAGTATAGAGAATATAATTTTATAACTGTTTTCCTTCTGATATAAATTTAATTGATTTAAACTCTTCAGCATACACATTTTGCACAATTCCAGGCGCCTTTTAATACTGTCGACTTACTTTTGAATTTTCCGCATATTCAGATTTATGCAGCCTTGGTAAATTCAAAGAAGTACTCCGCTTGCTAGTCTGTAGTTTTTCTTTCATTGTTTTAAGTAATTTCTGCTTTTGATCAATTATTGGTAAAGTTAAATTGGTCGGTTTGAATGGACTGTGAAAAGTGTGATTATGACGATGAAGTTGTTGTTGGTGGTGGTTTTGATAACAATGGCGATGATAATGATGATGATGAAGGTGATGAGGATGTAAATAATCATTATGATGACGACGATGCTGATGGTAACGATTACAAGAATTTTGTGGAATACAGCCTTTTCGAGGTATATTATCCGGATTTTGATCATTTTGAGGGCAATTCAATTTTGTATGTTGACTCGTTTTAGTCTGTTCAAGTTCTGAATTTTCATTTGGCTGTTCATCACACACATTCGATTGACTACTATTTTCCTCGTCTAGATAGTCAGATGAATTTGACTTTTCTCCGATAGAACTTGTATTAGGATGAATCAGCTGATTATTTAACGTCGAATCGGTTTCTCTGTTCTCCACAGGCGAATTCGCTTGCACAATACTAGCATTGTGTCGTTGTTCTTGTATGTTATCAGTGGAATCATAATTTGTAATTTCTTGTCTTGGTGGTGGTGTTGTTGTTGGCTGTAGTGCTGGCGGTGATGATGATGATAATGTCGGTGGACGTTTAACTTTGACCACTTCGACTGTTGATGACAATGAAATATGATTTGGATTTTTTTGTCTTGTTAGAACCATATTTTCCAGTTGTTTCAAGTACTCTATCAATTCGCCATCTACACAGTGGCACTTATCGCGTAAATTATCAATGTTTGGTAATTGTGCATAAGAATAGGGTGATTTATTTCGAGGACTTCTTTTAAACAATGAGAACTTTTTAGCTTTTGGAGAAGGTGTTTTATTCTTCTTCTCCTTCTTTTTACAACATGGCTTATCGTCGACAGCTGAACTTCTACAACATGGAGTCATTAGACAGCACTGCTTTTTTGTACAGGGCTTTGAGTGACCACATTTCGAAGGTCGTAGGGAATGAGGTGACAACTTGGCACATCTCCATGAACACTTTGGTTTAGAACGCTTAGGTTTTATATCATTACGGACTCTGATTAATTCATTCTTAGGTGTTTCATATTTTTTGGGTAACTGGTCAAGTATTTGTGGATTGGGTAAACATGATGAGTATATAGGCATTCCTTCTGCTATAGAAGCTCCTTTCCCAGTTGAAATAGCATTGATGGGTGTTTTATGCGTTATTTCAATGCATATTTCCCCTTCTACAGAACCTTTTGATGAATTTGGTTGGTGTATTACATGCCTATTTACTAAGCGTGCAACTCCTTTTTCATCTCGGCTTACAAACATTTGTGCTTCAACTATAGGACCGGATTTTAAATTACAGAACGTTGGAATACAGCTATGATTGTTGTTTCTAATAGGTCTACTTGATTCGGCACCATCTGTAAACGCAATCGGTCTCCATCCTACTTCCGTTTTCTTTGGCTTTTCAATAACTGTACTAGTTGCAAAAGCTGGTTCAGGTGACGTAGAGGATAAATCAGTCGAAAAAGATTTATGTAAATGTTGATCCACTTCTGGTGCAGGAATATTATCCAGTCTTTGATTACTAGTATTTTCCTCCCTTCTATACGGTTGTAATTGCAGACTTGCTTCTGTTAATGAACGGAGGAGTACACTTTTCCCACTTTTATTTTGTGAAAAAGCTTGATGGTGAAAATTAAAATTACTAGATGGAGATTCAGGTACAGCCAAAATTGTATGCGTAACTGGTGTAATCCATATATTGTTATTTTTGTTAGAAATAAATTTCCTAGAATCTTCAGGGTTTGGTGGAACAAACTTGCAAACAGAACAACCCATTCCTTGGTGGGATTACATTATTATTCCTTTCATGATGTGTGTATAATTATTGTCTTTTATTTTCGCTCGCATGGAATTTAAATCATTAATAATCAATATCATGTGAGCGTAATAGTGATAAAGAATAAATTTATTTATCGATAACTTCTTACTGACAAAAAACATATCAGTGGATCTAAGTTGTTGAATGTATTGTAACTAATTCTGTATCCGTCTATGTCTTTTGACGCTTTTGATGACGACCAGTAGAAAGATAAAGGATATATAAATCTCGTCTTATGCGTAAATTGTCATTCAATGCTATTTCATACTGTCACTGCTGTTTCAATAGACACAATATTGTCAACAGAATTACTGATTCATAAATCTTAGAAAATTGACAGCATTTGTTGCTTGTCTATACGCTGAACTTCTAGATGTTAACACCATGAAAGCAAGCTGGTTTTAATGTATAGCATCCTGCTCAGAATCGCTTCTATGCAAGAATCTTCAATCAATACAATAGTGCCTTGCATGGATTAAATTAAAACCTTAGAAGACTAGGATATTATAATGAAGTTTATAGTTGAATGAAGAACAACTATTATTCGTGTGTGTAAGATTTTGACTTAATTCTCATTTATCAAGTGCTGATTCTTACTCCTTGCTTTTGTGTCTGCTTCAGTGAGGAAAACGAGATGGAAAAGCCCAAGATCAAGGCAACATTCACCTTTTCATAGATGCCAGAAACTTTTCTTTTCGATATAATAAAATATAAGATAACGTAGGCAGTCTAGAACATGGAGAGTTGAAAAAGAAAAGTCCCATTAACAGACAGAGGTTCAGACTATGAGATTTGTGGGTTTTCGGATTAATTTCACTTGTTAGATTTTTACAAAAACCAAGGTTAGTTGAAGGGAGCACATGTGTTTCACCCCAATTTGGAAGTTATCAATAGCGCACACACCACCCCGCCGGGGATCGAGCCCAAGATCTTCAGGTTGTGTGACCAAATTCTTTGACCATTTAGCCACTTGGGGAGGGGGAATTCAGTGATCCGTGAATGCTAACTTTGTCCATTTATGATATGAAGGGACATGAGTTCCTCCAAGGTTGCAGATACGCCTTGCTGACTGGTGAGTGCCAACTACTAACATGAAACCTAGGTCAAGCAAGGCTTCCTGTGGCCGATTACCTCCAACTATCTATTATGATACACCTTCGCCATCAAGCAATGCCTGGGATAAGCATCAATCTCATCTTGACATGGTGGAATCCACTGGCCATAACTTCTCGTTAAAGCTTCAAGAAATCCATCCAGCAGCCATCAATGAGCTGAAGATTGATATTTAGACCTGGAGATTTGTGCGGATTTTGGATTAAATTTCATTTGCTAGATTTTGTCTCTAACTGATGTTGGTTTGGGATGAAATCTAACAATTCAGATGGAAGTTTATCGGTTGACCAAATCTACTTATATAATATTAAAGTTATATCAGTTGATTAATACATGATAGTAGTACACCCGAAAACGCATTCCGAAAACATGGACCTCGACAGTCGTCATTCCATATAGAGCAGAGACGTCAGATGATATCAGAAGAGTACTCAATCAGCTCAACATTAGAGTTTTCTTTAAAACATCAGACACACTTCAAAGACCAAATCCCTAAAGATTCACTATCTAATTGTGTCTATAAAATAAAATGCTTGGAATGTGATGCGATATACATCGGACAAACATCTCCAGAGAGAAATCAAAACCAGAAGAAATGAACACCGTAGAGCACCTGTTCGACCACCGAGAAATCCAAATGAACTAGAAAAGCTTGAAAAATCATCAGCCATAAGTCTACGTGCTATAGAATCAGGTCACAAAATTGATTTTGACAATATTGAAATAATCCAGAAAAACTTCAGAAATCACAAAGAACGTTTAATATCAGAAGCACTTCATATCAAGTGGAATCAAAATTGCCTGAATAGCAATGATGGACTAAAACAGAATCTGACCTGGTTACAACACCTCCCTCCCCCATGAAGTGACAAGATCAACACGAATGTGATAAGCAAGTTCACTATGTAAACACACACTGTCTCTATAATTTTAAACACTGATCAAATCCAACAATCTACACTTGATTTTGATTTTGTTATCTTTACCAATTGACAAACTTGACAACGAAAAATGACCCCAGACTAACGAACGATGATCGGGTTGGTAAACTTTGTTTTGATACCATAACACATGTAGTATTACCTTTGTTATTTGGTTTAGTGATGTTCATTGTTATTTTAACTCTCAATATGTCCTTTTAACTTGACCTAACTTGTCTATTTTCTCGCCCCTTAACGCTTTGTTTCATATATATGCTGAGATTTTGTAAATTCCGGTTTAATAATACTTTGATAAAGCTATTAGCATTAAATAGCGAAACGTCAGTAAAACAACAATATCGTTTTGTTTTTCATTCATTGGGAAATACAAAAACCTTTATTATAATGATAGTAGTATTTGTCAAATTAAAAATATAGTTAACAACTCCTAAATATGAAAAAGTTAGTCGAAATATGTTGAAGGGTTGAAATAAAAATCTGGTGAAGAGTCCCAAACTAGGACGAAACAGCTGTCCAGTACTCCCAGGTTTTCCAATGGTTCTCTAAGTAATGTCAGCTCATGATGAAAATCCTGTAACCAATCAAATCCCGACAAACCAACACTTGAAAAATCTTTTTACCAACTAAGTAGACTACAACAAACACTGGATGTAAAAAGCCATTTCTGTCTTTAAAGCTCTGATGCTTATAGGTACAAGAGATCTTATCAGTATAAAAAAACCTAACAAGGAGTGGATGAAATATTTGTTAAGTTATATTTCTTACACGTTGATTTGTGAAACTTGACTAGTGACATCTAATCTGTAATAGATACGAGCTGGGGAGCATTACTTATCTACTGCAATAACAATAGCACACAGTGGCATTTGATAGCAGAACTATCAGTTTGAATAAGCCGAAAAAAATATAATGTCATAAATCTTCCAAGTAGCGTATGAAATAGAGCTTAATTAGAATTACGATGACAAGGATGGATGAAATCAGTGAATTCTCAAATGACTAATTACAAGTAATTAAGTGAGTGAAACCAACCTAATTACCGCGTTTAATTAGACCAAAGAAAATTAATTGCAAGTTATATTGTCAAAAATTCCTTACCCTTGAAATCAAATGACTATATAAATAAGAATATATATATATATAGTTTGGTTTGTAAGGATTAGTTATGTTTTACTGGGTCCCAGTGGCTGAATGGTATACGAGTCAGCTTACATTGTAACCGGAAGGTCCTGGTTTCGAACCATGGCGGTGGGTGCGTACTGGCGATGATTCCCAAACTAGACTGACGAAACAGCTGTCCTGGTTTTCAGTGGTTCTCTAACTGATATCAGTCCGTGATCAACTCGTAAAATATATATATATATATATTATTCATTAGGTTCCAAGTGGAACTCAGGGCTACCAAGTTTGAGGAATCAGTAGCGGTTGAATTCCTTTTACTGGATGGAGTTGTTATCATTATACACAATATTCCCCCATTTTTGGCTTTTTATCGGCTTGTAAACCAGGTAAGGTTAAGGGAGGCCTATGCCGTGAATCGAACCCTGACCGAACGGGTGATTGGTGAGCTTTCCACCATTTAAGTGATATTATTATTGATGATTAAATATCTTAATGTAGAGCCATCCTCTAGCAGCAGAAATAACCAGGAACTTAAATAGATACACAATAGGTCTTAGATGATAAAAACACAGTTTCAATAGAACTTAACTGGTTAAAAATGAATTCTTGAACTCTAATCGTTAAAAATGAACCCCGGGGATTATCTTCAAATGAACTAAAATTTTCAGTTTACATTTATGCAGCAACTAGTACTAAATCACAATTACTAATTTTTAAATATTGTCATCTCCTCAAACACAAAAGTTTAATGATTAAATGTAATAAATGCATGAATAATTTGAACGTTTATGTGATAGTAAATAAAAATGGACGCCTAGAAGTTCATATTTCTTAGAGCACAAAATATTTCTTCTGCAAGTTTTCACGCAATAATGAGAGAAACCATGAGGAAAAAAATTTGTTCTGCTGATTAACAATTTCTATCACTGTTTTGTTCAAATATTCATTGATGTTTGTTTATATTTATTGTAGTCATACAAAACAAATAATTCTGCTAAATACGAATTTCTGACTTCTGCCCTTTCTGTGTTGTTCTACAATTACAAAATAAGCATCACATTTTGGCGTCACGAGCAGGATTAAGCAATCTTGAAGAGTGTCCTAGCAACAGTTCATCACAGAAAATCGTTGATTACCTTGAATGCTCTGATGCACGGTGTTTGTCGAAGAATCTATGAGATAATAAAATTCCAGCTCATTTTATTACTGCGGTTGAACTAGATGAATACTGTCTATCGAAAACTATAGCATTTCCAGATAAGCCAATAATTCTATTCTTATATAGCATCCCAAGATGATTCATTTTCTAAAACATGGAAAACTGGAGACGCTAAACTACAGCAGCCGAAAACGAAACTACTTCAAGCGGCCAATCAGATTCACAGGAAGTAGAAGTGCATAATTTGAAATCAGCGTCTACATACAAGTAATGCACTGTTTAAAAAATGGTTACACAGGATAATATCCTTTTATATGTTCCGAAAAAATCTCCCAATTTCTCACGGGAGTCTTCATAGTCAGGCTAAATCGATTTCATCAATCCGTTCATTAGGTAGTTTCATTTTGGGCTGCTATAGTTTAGAGTCACCGGAAAACTTTATTCCAAGATGACACAATTGAACAGTCAAATCTAGTTTTGTATTACTTGATATGAAATGTATTCGAAAATATACATGAAGTTGAAAATCTGTCAGTAAACAACTACCTTTTACCTGTTAGATACGTTAGCTAAAACAATGTGTAGCGTGTGAGTTAACGTTACTTTATCGATTTAGTGAATG